AAATAGAGTGCATAATGATACTTTTGTAGAATTCTTCAGCAAACCTTAAAAAAATGGATGAAATATTTAGGACAATTCTTGGGTTATACTGAATATTTAATGCATGTTAGCTATATTATATACTCTTTGCTATAACCAGCCATTTATCTCCAACATGCCCTAGGATTCTACCACAACAAAGGATCAAGTTCATTCCCCAGGGCCAATTTCATGGGCCTGTACAGCTAACTGTACAAAAGTGTCCCATGCTAAGGAATTGGCACTTAATTGAATGCTTAGTTTTCATCATGTTGAATTCTAGTCACTTTATCCTTGAATTTGTCTTTTGTAAGTGAAGTCATGCACCATGGAGCGTGAGTGAAGACACACAATATACATGTTCAATGCTGTGAAGAACATGTGTTGTCCCACTCACATGTATTATTTTTTAATTATGTTCATTGAGGTAATGTCAGCTTACAATACTGCACATGTTTTGGAAATGTATGTTCACACCAAAAAGCATTCTTGATGCCTGCTTGATCATAAGATTCTGATGGCCCCATAATGTGTGAGAGACCAGCAAACTCAAGTCTAAAATAAGCATCTCAACATCTACATCTGAGTAAGTAGGGGCATGGACAACCTCAAAAGGCCATGCTTTCCATTCCAACCAGAACTTGCTTTGAATGCTGACAGAAGGCAACAGACCAAGGAACCCTGTAAGTCCATTCTAACTCATGTTTTTTCCCTGTACCAGCTAACCGCTTACTCTGAAAACGAGAAGAAGAAAAGGCAACCCATATTTCCTTTTCCTTCATGATTCCCTTACTCATCAATAAGTCAAATACAACATCAGTAAGTGCTTATAGAATGGTACCTCTTAAGAAGTAAAATAAAAATTTGCATTCGTTTTGTGCTATTCCCACTTCTGGCAAGAAAGCACAAATACATAACCAAATGTCAAAGCACGCATGTACATACATGCTACTATGGTAATACTAGCTAGAAAATACAAATTGTGTAATTTCATTGATTTTGCATATGATTTCAATATGAGTTATATGTTCTTTATATTGCATGTAAAACTGACATTGCACAATATAAAGATGAACAATAAAATTAATGCTAATAATTTATTTTTCTTTACGTAGAATGATATTGACTAGCTAATAAAGCCAATTCCAAAGATGGAACACGGAAGAAAGGAAAATAATATTATATTTTGTACCTGTACTGATACTTTTTTCTTTCTCTTTGAACAAAGGTCTCCACCTTTTCACTTGTATTAAGCCCTGCAGATAAGATGGCTAGTTCTGTCTTGATGCTTTCTTCTCCCTAAATTTCCAGCCAGTCACCTTCTGCAGGACATCTTACCTGATCCTCCACCTCCCATTCTTCCTCGCCTCTTGTGGCCTTCTTGCCAGTAATCACCTAGCACTTTATATTTATATATTTCTCATTGCACATTCACTCATAGAGTTAATTTTGAATATATCATCTCCCCTATTAGTCTGTCTTTCCTGAAAGACAGGAACAGACTTGGCATTCTTATCTGGTTGGCCATGGACCAGAATCACTGGGGCCTTCATAGCAAAAATAAATTCCAGGAACTAACAATGAACAGATAGAATTGGAATCTCCAAAGCTGCTTCATTTGGTTGCACAGTTAGCTTGAGAAGTAGATATAGAATGAATGAAAGAAAACCGCTGGTTCCAGTCCACGGAATGGCAACTCCTCCAGTTTGGATACTCCTGGGTAAAATCTGATCCATCCTTGTTGAACTAGTTCAAGTGTCACCTCATACCTTGAGATCTCCCCTGATTTTTCCCTCCCCTCACATCCACATCTCTAACTTTCTGACCTCAAGTTCCTTACCATTTAGTAACTTTGTCACTGAGCAAATTCTAATTGAATTTTAACTTTCTGGCTAGATTGGTGACATTGAGGGCATAGCAGAATGCAGACTAGGGTGAGGCAAGTGAGGCATTTGCCTTGGGTGAAAAATGTAAGGGAACATTTTAAAAAAAACCTCAATGATCAAGATAAACTATGTATTGAAGAAATATTTTTGAAATCAATGCAACACATCCATGTTGCACAATATGTCATAATTTTAAATAAAAATGGCCCCAGACCACCTTTATGTACTTGTACCAACTGGTCTTATTCACTTCAATCTAATTCCCAGGTCTGCTGGATGCTATGTTTTATTCATCTTCTCATCCCAGTTGATGTTGAATATACAAATACATGATTAACCCAGTCATCACCTTGACATGTATAGATCCTGATAATGAAGATGGTTATGATGGAATGTGGGCATGGGTCATGAAAACACATTGGGTGGTGCCCTCTCATTTTAGCCAGGTTGGAACACAGGACCTTAAAGTTTAAACATTATTTTCTGTCTTTAATCAGGTCCCCATAAAATTCTCCTACATTTCCCCATGGTAAAATCAGTTTTGATGGAAACCCTTCTTTACCATCATGCAGTCTGGAAGACTGCACTGAGAGGGCTTATTCAATGTAGTTTCAATAACAACAATAAACTAAAAATAAATAATAAATGTTATTGTAATAAAATTGCATTAAAATTACCCTCCCCGTTGTTATATAACATTGTTACTGAGAATTGCTTGAATAATACCATGTTATATAGTATGCTAAGATTTAGTCTTTATTTCAGAAGTTTGCAGGCAAAATGAAATCAGAAAAGCAAAGTGATTAGAATAAAGGGATTCAGCGCTTTTTGTTATACTCTGATCTCTGTATGTTTTCTTCTTAAGAAGGAACTTAGCTCCAATTTATATTCAAGAAGGCGAGGGGTGGTTATAGTTGGCGGCCTCAGCCGGGACCAGACCATGACCATTCTCCTTGGTGAAGGAAGATTGGCATCACCCCCCTCTCATCTACCCTCAACTGCTGTGGCCTATCAGAGACAAGGCTTTTCCTTAGGTGGCCCGGTTTTTCACCCAGAGTTCGCCACCAGGGGGCTGTCTGTTTGGAACAAATGGTGCAGACTCCACAGCTTTCCTCCAAACCAACGAAAACATCCCGGGGCAGCTTTGGAGCAAAGCCCAGGAACTTCCCTGCAAAGGAGAACAACTTCTCTCCTGCTACATAACCTGCAAGTCCTATGGTGCAGCCTTATTACAAGTGCAGACTAAAACACGGATCTCTTGCCAAGGACCAAGGGGGAAATAGTGTGCCATGAGTCTGAAGGGAGAGGACCTCCCTCTTACTTGCCTTGGGTTCTTCATCTTTCTCTCAGGAAGCAAACGAAATGCTGTGCACCCAGGCGCAGGAACAGCTTCTGAATTCTTGACAGTTGTGGTTGTTCATGCTGTCAGCACAAGTGGTGGCTTCTCTTCCTCTCCCGTGATAATGCTCCCAAGAAGCTGGAATGAAACACACGTGGTCGGCTGCAATCTAGAAAACTCTATATAATGTTCACACTTGAAGCTACAACTCGTCCTAACTTTATCACATTGCATGATATAGTAATGAATGTGTACACTGAATAATGAAGTCAGAATTGTTTTAATATTGTCTACAAGAAAATAATTGTACTCTGCCCTCAAAATAGTTTGGTTGCAACGATAGCTTCGTGCTGACTACATGTAGGCTTTGGGGGGTACTGGGTATTTTCCCAAGTATTCCTCTAGTTCAAAACGCTGCTGCCTGCTTCACTTTCTCCCTCTCCAAGCCTTCCGGGCTTGAGGTTGGGGCATTTTAGAAAGCCCTATTTGCCTGGGACAGAAAGCTTCCAAAATACAAATCAATTTTGTCTTCCGGGTTTTATTTGTACATATCCAAGCTAAAGAAAAAATTAATAGGGCGGCCCTTGTGGAAGGTGCGGAGTGTCTCACCCCTGCACGCATCCCTCAGGAAACGCAAAATGGTGTGGAGTGTCTTCCCTCAAGGGCAAACCAGGTATTTTCCAAACTTCCCTTCCAGGGGAGTGGTGAGGGCTACAGAAAGGCCAGAGGGCTGGGCGGGCGGAGGCCCCAGGAGGAGCCGGAGCGCGGGGTCTGCCTCACACGCGCCGCCACAAGTGGTTTGGAGTGAGCGCGCGGAGGGCGGCGACTTGGGCCGCGCTCGTCGGGGCGGGCAAAGAAAAGCTTGTGTTTCTGGAAGTCACCTCCTCCCCCTTCCCCTGGCGCTCGTCCCCCATTCCTTCCTCTTTGCCTACTACAGGAATGACGCCCCAACGCGAACATCCGTGCGCACTCAGTACGGTGTGTGGACGCGCGCCCACCAAGCCCACGGCGACCTCGCCACCCCGGGAGGGAGGGAGGGCAGGGCCGCGCCTGGGAGGGGTTGGGGGGGAGCGCCCCAACCTGGGGAGGCAGGTGCGGAGGCGGACAGCCCAGGGGCGGCGTGTGCGTGGAACGCGGGGCAGGGGCGCGCGAGCCCGGCGCGGCCCACACGTCCGAGGGCCGGGCGGGGTCGTCGGGCGCGGGCTCGGGGGGCCGGGGCGCTGGCGGCGGCGCCTGGGCGTGCGGCCGGGAGGCCATTTCCTCGCTGCGCCCCTGGTGGCGCCCGCTTTGCCTGCTCCTGGCCGCCGCCGCCGCGCGAGTCGGACCGCGAGTCCCGACCGCGCGAGTCGGGAGGGCTGAAGGGGAAACCAGGTCGCCGGTTCGCAGACTCGGCGCGAAGCGGGCGCCCGGGGCCCGGAGTAAGGCGGCGCCCGCGGAGCGGGCCGGGCTCGCGGGCGCGCGGGGGGCCGGGCGAGGCGGGAACGAGGCTGCCCCGGCCCCCCTCGCTTCCTGCGCCTATCTAAGTGCAGGGGTCCCGGAGGGCCGGGGCGGCCCGGGCTGGGGCGGCCTCTGCGCCTCAGGAGTTGACATTTTGCTGGACTCTCGCGACGGCCCGTCGCCGGCGCTCCCGGGACCCCGCCGCCGGGAGGAGGGGGCGGAGGAGGGTGGAGACTGCGGGGCTTGGCCAAGGAAGGCGCACATCCTCGGGCGGGCGGCCGTGACGCGGCGGGGATTAACTTTGCATGAATAATGTGAGTGCGCTGGGAAAGGAAACCTTCTGCTCCCCGGGCTCGGGGCAAGTGCCCGCAGGCTGCCTTCCCCGGCAGCGGCGCTCAACCCAGCAGGCTCGAGGGCACTGGTAATTTGGCGAGAGGACGGCGCGCAGGCGGGGGCGCGGGGGTGAGGGGGGTGTGTGGCGGCGGGGCGCGGGGGCAGGAGGCGGGGGGCGACCGTGCCGACCGTCCAGAAGAATGGGCTGAAGGGGGATGCGGGTGTCCCGGGAAGCTGAGGGGCGCCGGCGGGGGCGCTCGGCGCGCTCAGGCGGGCGGCGGGCGTGGGTGGTGGGGGTGTCAGCCGCCTGGTTACCTGCCTCCGCGGGGTTTCTGCGCCCCGGGTCTGGAAGGAGGTGCCCTTTCGCGCTCGGGCATCGCGCGGTGGCAGTCGGGGAGCCACGGCGTGGGCTGTGGAAAAGCGGGGTGACTGGATCCCCCGCCAGTCGCCGCGTCTCTGTGCCGCCCTAAACCCCCAGCCCAGCTGTTGACAGGCTCCTTGTGAAATGGAGTTTGGCATCCTCAGCGCCGAACCGAGTGGAAGTTTCCATGATGAGGAAGTTCTGTGACACGGGGGTTCGGAAAAGGTTGGCAGACACCGGGGCGGGGGAGGGGAGAGGTGGTTTAAAGGGACTGTGGGTGCCCCATCCCCCCTTTTTTTTCCTGCCCCGGAACTCCGGGGTTTGGAAAGGAGAATAATCCTGAATGTTGGCGTGCGCTGCGGCCGGTGCCTGGCGACTTGGCTTCTCCCCGCCTCCTCGGGAATCCGTGGCGATTTCGCGAGCCTCCTGGGTCGCGCTTCTTCGCTTTGCTTCTCTTGACGCAGCATCTTCCTCTGGGTCGCCTCGAGTTGGTTCTGATAATAGGAGTTGTGCCAACTGTGTGCCTCCCCACCTCCCAAGCCCCCAGACCCCTCTGAAAAGAACTAATTTGGAGGTTTTTGGTAACTCCTAATGGATTTCGTCCTTCTCAGTGTGCCGTATTATTTTGGAGGATGTCATTGTACGATTGTTATTAGTGCTAATTCTTAAGCCTTCTGATTTTTTTTGGGGGGGGCGGGGGAGGAATGGGCAGGGGACTGGGTGAGATTTTTATTTATTAAAGGCTAAATGTATAATTTCCCCCAAATGGAAAAATTTTAAGGAAGGGTCTAGAAACGTTAACAGTTCTAAAGTGAGGCAGGAATGAGAAAGGAGTTAACTTGAACAGACAGGTTCAGACTTTCTTTTCCATCAACCCTCTCTCCATGCACATTTTGAATGTGGGAAATTCAAGCACTACCCCTAATTTGTAAATATATGTGAAAGTCTTCTTCTCAGCATGCCATTGGTCTTAGGTGTCAGCGACATTCTGTTTTAAAGACCTATTTTGAAGTTCAAAAAATGAAGCATTCCTTGAACAGTGCACAACACCGTGGAGCCACAGATGGGACTGCACATTTCTTTTCTTAGTAAGCTCACCTTTTTGATGGAAATCAGAGTAAAGGTGATTGGCTACTTTAATAATATCAGACTACAACAGTGTTTATAGTGACAACTGCATTGGGTAATGTTGACCTGTGGGACTGTATCTTCACATTATTTGACCTTAGTGTGGTGTGCTTATTTACATTATAACAATATATACACCATGGGCTTGTTTACAAAGTAATGAAAAGCGCATTTTAGTCAAAATGTCCCATGATTCATTCCGAATATTCACATTCTTGATGACTGATCTCCTCCCTAACTCATTTCTGCTTACCTCTCTTATTCTGAAACAACTCAGGGAGTAGGAAACATGAATTAAGGTGTTTTGGTGAAAAGTATTTTGAGTAATGGACAATTTTACAGATTTTCACTGTCAGTTGGCTTTTTTTATTGACTAACAAATTTAATAGTACGTGATCTGTTTGAAGTACTATGGGGGAAGCCATTGGTAAACAGCCTTTTATTTCTTGTGAATGCTAAACAGATACTACCAGAATCTTATTTTTAATGAATTTCAAAGAATTTTTTTTTGTATATTTTAGCTGGGACCATCTGCTAGTAAATATAATTTCCTTTTATTTTTCAGTGAGTGAAAGTAAATGATACTGAATATAGCCACAGAACTGTTTTGCTTTGTTTTTTAGTGTGTGTGTGAAGCAATTCCTGTTGGCATTACAATGTAAAGGTGTAACTTCGTTGACATTGGAATATTGTTTAATAAAGCAGTTGACTTTACGGAAGGATTAAATATTTTATTAATCCCTTTTTAGATTATTTATTATACATTCTGTGCTAGGTATGAATTAACTTTAATCTACGATTTTTGGGGGAAAGATGATTTCTTAAAATTTCCTTACAGGCAAAATAGTTGTGGATTTCTTTCTTTCCTGGGATATTTGCAGTTGTTTGAAGCAGGAGTGGTGGGAGCCACAAATGGGATTGCACATTTCTTTTCTTAATAAGGTCACCTTTCTGATGGCAGTAAGAGTAAAGGTGATTGGTTTCTTTAGTTCCTCCTAGTCTTGGAAAATGTGTCACTTTCTTAAAAAAAAAAAATTCCTGGACAATTATGCAAAGCAGCCTCCCATTCTTTCTCAAAATCATCATGTTATTATTTTTGTTCCATTTTTTTTCCTTCTTGTTCTTATTTGCAATCTGAATCTCACATTTCATTTGATACTTGTTGATTACCTGTTCCCCTGTCTAGAATATAGAATTCACAAGAAGAGTATTGAGTGCCTCATTTACTCTTAAGTCTCCAGCATCTAGAACATTGCTTGGCACACCAGTAGGTGTTAGGCAAATCTATGTTGAATAAATGAACAGTTGTGCACAAATAGTGTTTTCCCAAAAGTATCTGGCTGAGCCTGCTGAGTATGTCAAGATCTCTGTGTCACATGTATATATGATTCAATCAATTGCTCTCGCTCTCTCTCCCCAACCCCAGCTCTTAAGCTCTTCCCCCTCCACCTTGTCCCCTTTCCCCCCCCCACTTCCCTTTCTCTTCCTCCCTTTTTCTGACAGAAACTAAGCCCCATTCTGTGTAGTGACAATGCAGAGAGTTATTTCTGGGAGTTCTTCCTGGGGGCATTTGCCTTAAGTACACAAAAATCCTCAGCAACAGTAGCAGTTTGTCTTCCATGTTACCTTGATTCCTTGAAGACACTGACCTTCAACTCCCAGGATTTCAGCAGAATTTTTATGAGTTCCAGAGACATTGTCAGTATTAAGAGTGAAATTCCAGGGAGGAGACATCACTGGGTGATAGCAATACCTTTCTCACTCAGCAGGTTCTGGCAGTGTCTCTGGCCTTGGCAGCCCTAAGTGACCAAGGGCATGTGTTGGTATAGCTGGTCAACACAGGTGGTGGTTCGGAAAGTGTAGAATGGGACTGACAGTTCAATACAGAAGTTGTCCATGGTAGTAAATTTGGTAATAATCTGGTAGTTTCCTTATGTTGTAAGTTGTCAGTCAACCTCTCCCCTTTACCCTTTTTTATACTTTCATAAACAGAATTTTGAACCAGATGATTGTGGGAAATATTGCGTTATCTGAGTTTTCAAATGACAGAGATGTGATACCCAAGAGGTCATCTTCAAATTAGCTATTCATGGAAACTCTTTTAACAATTGAGACTAAAAAATAAATTGCAATTCATGATTATGATTATTTGTTTTTGTTTATTGAGTATGTACTTTCGTAAATGGATCTGGGAAAATACATAATAAAAATTCCACAAAACAGCCTGGTAAAAATGGTACAGGAAAAAAAGATCAAAATCTTATAGAGGAGTAAAGATAATTAAGCTGAAATCCTAAGTACTTATTGCTTTTGAATATTTAATTTAGCTTTAAGCTCAATAACAAGGTTAACTGAAAAAAAGAGGAACCGCCGGGGCACAGTTTTGCGTTAAAGTTGTAAGGACAGATCAGATAACCTTCGCAGATTGCTTAATATAGTGCCTGGCAACTGATATATATGCCTATGAAATCACCAATCATATAGTGGCTAATATTTGAATTTCAGTTCTATGGAAAATGAATAAACGTCCTTATAAGGTCATATCTTTTACCAACCCTCCAGGGAATGGAAAATGCAGAAGGCATAATGAAAAGCAACCCAGTCAGAGTTTATCTTTGGGAGCCTGAGCTGCCATAGTCCAGAGGCAAGATTCTGGCGATTGTCTCCAGTACAGAAATAGAGCTTAGAAAACCTAGAGAAATGAATGGTTAACATGTTCTTTAAGCTAACTTTCTCAAATATCCAATGTTTCAGCCAAGCCTTTGACTAGAGCAATCTGAGAGGACAGGCTAGCCAGGTACTTGAAAATGACCCTTTGGCCATAAACCTCTCTGAGCAGGTGGCCTTGATGCTTTGTGCTTTAGTCTGTATAGTTCTTACCCTACAGGGCAGTGTGGTTTTGTTTCCATTTCTGTTTCCCCCTATAAATTGTGATGAGGTTCTATAAGTTCATTTATCCTTGACACCCCAGAACCTAGCAGCATTCTGACTCATGAACATAGGGAAATGTTTGTTGGAAGCATGAAGGGCCAGCACTTTATTTTTTCTGATACAGGTAGCAAACGTCATCTTTTGTCTTGTTTTGCCCAAAGTGAATGTTTACTGCATGGATGGCACCATATGTCCATATCGTAACTATTTTGCTGAAAAGACTTCTTCTAGTACTCTCGTTGGTTCATTGATGGATAGCAAGTTAAGTCTGTACTTTATTTTATGTCATTTTAATTGTTTGATTGGATTTCTCATTCAGCCCACAAACATTTGTGTATCTACTATATTCTAGTCATGTTGCAGATCAGTGCAAAACCCGCTGAGCTTATGAGACACATGCATCTATTAATATAAAAGGATTCTGCAGTGATCTCTATTGTGATGGAATGGATACATATGTTGGGGCCCCTCATATGCCCCTTTGATGGAATGAAGTTATTTTAATCTGAGTAAATGACAGTTTTCTGTTTCCTATAGCCTATGTATAATAGTGTAAATTCTGTTGTATACCGGGATTCACCCAGGATTCTCTTGGTATCCAACTACTGTGGGTATGACTATATTTAGAACAATGAGTCTCTGATTATAGATGTTCACTCTCTACCATA